CACTGCAAGGCCACGCATTTGTAAACATCTATTATACTAATTCAAATCCACATGCATCTCCGAGCAACCCTCGTTACTCGCACTTCTCCCAATCGATATTTTAGTCTACGTACACGAGCGGGCTTATCTCGGTGCCTTTTTGTCTCGGACCGGCACGATGTTTCTGACACAAGGAGGATTTTTGTTGCCTTGACTTCTGGGCAGACGCGACATATCCACTTGGAGAATCACGCATGTATATTCTTTCCTGGGTTGATTGTCCCTTCATCAAAGTGTTGTAGTATATCTACAGACGATAACAGGTATGTTCCCATTCACATAAATACAGTAGTAAATACTGTGTGTTGGTCTGCAGTCGGAGATTCATCACCAGCTGTGCTGGTCAAACACCCTGCCTCCGGGCTGAGTTGATCCCCAGACGAGCCTATGTCGAAGGGTAGAATCTCCTCTCGGGGAAATAGCTACCTGACCCCGTTTTATACGGGATTTACGGGGAATTTTTGGACGAGCCTACGGGCTCGGATACCCCACATTAAATTCGGCCTTGTGTCACATCTGACCGCATCTTTCAGTTACGATGTTTCTGACCAAAGGAGGAGTTCTGTTTCCTTGACATATCCTGCAGTTGGAGATTCATCTCCAGCTGTGCTGGTCAAACACCCTGCCTCCGAGTAGAGAGAATCCCCAGACGAGGATATGTCGAAGGTCAGAATCTCGTCTCGGGAAACAGCTACACGACCCCGTTTTATACGTAGTCTACGAGGAATAACCCACATTAAATTCGTCCTTTAAATTCTGACCGCCTGAGGTGGTTGGTAGATATCCTGCAGTTGGTGATTCATTGTGGAATTCACTTGACTCACTTCTGACAGCTGACTACTACTTCTACGCGAATCTTATATGTGTTGTTCTTTTCCAAAGTATTATCGTTCATTACCAACCTTCGTTTGATTATTCTATTCAGTAACCTTCCCTAGGTCACAACATTAAGGTTGCTCAAGGTAGGCATTTTCTGGGGTTTGACGTTATCCGCCTGATAGTCAGGAATCCGAACCTTTGAGTAACTCCGAATGAAGCTATCCAATTAAGTGTATAATATCGGGGTTTTTGTACTCTTATTTTGTGAATGGTTTCGGGACCGTTCAGTAGTCTCCGGTGGGGCCTCTCGATGCCGTGATGAAGGATACTGCTACGGTTGTATATCTGGACGATTCTCTCTAAAGAATTTATACATGGAACTCCTGTGGATGTACCTGTCCCTCTACCTACTAGTCTTCCACCATCCAGAGCACACATGAATCCAATCAATATATATATTCAGTTATGTCGGTGAGCACATCAGCGGTAGACAGGGCAAAGCGGAATCCATATTGTTTGTCAGAGAGTAGATCTTGAGAAGTAAGTTTTTAAGTAGATGAGCAAGCTTGTTTCGGTGTCTTTTGATCTCGGCCAGTTACGATGTTTCTGACCAAAGGAGGAGTTCTGTTTCCTTGACTTCTGGCCAGTCGCGACATGTTCATCTGAAACATCACGTATGTATTTTTCTTCCTGGGTTCGTCGTCCCTTCATTAAGAGTGCTAGATGTTTTCTGGGTTTTGGTTTTATCCGCCTGACAGTAAGGGTACCGAAGCTTTGCGTAACTCCGAAGGAGGTATCCTAATAGCAGGTGTATAATTGAACTGTGTTGTGGTAGGATCCACCCAATTTGTATAGTGGAGTACCGACCATATAAATATGGTTGGTACCGGGAAGAGAAGGGGAGGAATCAAGAGCTTTAATCCAGAGAGTCTGCCCGACTGCGACTAAGTCAACACATTCTCCAGGAACGGTCTTCCCAGGAATATACAAACGACTATATGTAAATATTGTGTACACTTTCTTGTTTCAATACATTTTGTTCTAAGTACATTTTGTGTTGCATTATTATTCCATGCATTAGTCAAGTTTCAACAAACTGTCATTTTGTGAATGGTTTCTGGAACGTGCAGTAGTCTCGATGCCATGGTGAATGGTCCTGCTACGACTGTATCTCTGGGCGATTCTCCTCAAAGAATTTATACATGCAGCTCCTGTGGATGTACCTGTCCTTCTGCTTACTAATCTTCCAACAACCAATGCACGCATGAAATCAAAATACAAATAAACAAATCGAGCAAACCCAGCCTAAAAAAAAACAGACCCCGTCCGTATACCATCTAAACCAACGTGAGAGGTCTACGTTCCAACTTTCCAGAAGTGAGAACCCATCTTCTCCAATCTACACCATACCTCCTGCTGCTTTCTGAAACCGGCATCAATACTTCAAGTTCTCTAGGGGAGATCACAGTCCCGAGATACTCACCTCTTATAGCTAAACATAGATACCTAAATAGTCACGAACAGAGGGCCTACATAAAGAACGAGTTTGCCTGTGGCAGAGACGAAAAAAACGAGGATATCCCCCTTATATATGCTTCCACGTGGTACTTATCCATAGTACCACATTCGTCTTTGCTCTCTATCGCCCTCAGGACGGACGGACGGTTATCTTCGGCCGAATATCTGAGAATATTGATAATATCCTCACTCAGTCTCCCTTGATCAAGTTTCATATCCACCATAACGAATAGCTAGTCCCCTCCAACAAAACCGGTGTTGAAGGCAGATATTGCAGAGACTAACCCAGATCATCGGAGAGCGCCTACCCGGGTCCCGGACACGACGGGAGATCAGGTGAATCTCCTTGACCTCTTCCTAACCTCTTGCCCTAATAAATGCTTAGCAAAAGTTTTACCTCTACTAGGCAAGTCGGACCATTCCCTAATCAGTGTCCAGATTTATGTCAAACCTAAGTCATCTCCTGATGTACTGTTCCATAGAACGATTTTTCGCTATGCGAAGGCAGACTGGGACATTTTTCGATCCTACATGATGGGAGCTTCTCTCCCAACCTTCTTCAATCATGCAGCCTCCAAAACTGCTGCACTTGTCACTGACTGGATGCTTTCTGGAGAGTTTTATAGCTCCAAAAAGGATTCCAGCACAAACCAAACATCAATTCTGGTTCACCCCTGAATGCGGTGCAGCCATAACTCACCGAAAGCATTACTTCAATATCTGTTGCAAGGAGCGATTGGATTCCTTGAATTCTGGAAGATCACTAACCAAATCATGAACAGAGGTAAGGCGGTTTTGTCCACAATTATACATTGCCTCTATGTGATATCTTCCTCGACAGATAAGACGAACCTCTTCGTCTCTGTCTTTGTCGCTAACTCAACGTTAGATGATAAAAACCACCCCCTCATGTTCCTACGTCACGCTGAGTAATATCTCAGTAATATTACCATCACAGCACGAAAAGTCTCTAGTCTTATCAAAGGCCTTGACCCTAAGAAAGCCACTGGTCCATACAAAATTCCGTTGGTTGTCCTTAAGAATATCAAGAATTATCTTCAATCTTAGCAAAGTTATTCAACCGTTGCTTGAAGGAGAAATCCTTCCAAATACTATGGAAGATGTCAAGCCCGGTTTTCAAGAACGTTGGCGTGCGATATCTCCCCACTAGTACAGACACACCAGTCTCCTCAGTATTACCACTAAGTCTTTTAGGTCATAATCAATAAGAAGATTGTCGAGCACCTAGAAAAGAACAACCCCTTCAGCGTCGAGCAGTATGGGTTTCCGTCGGCCCGATCCAGTGGCGACGCTATAACTACTATCACTCACAGAATCAGTGAGGCTATTGACGACAAACACACCTCGAAGAACGTAGCACTAGTTATCTCAAAGGCCTTCGACAAGGTTTGGCACAAAAGTTTACTACACAATCTCTCCAGTTATAGAATCACTGGAAGGGGCACAGCGATCATAAAATCCTTTATAACAGGTAGGTCTCTGAAAGTAGTTATTAATGGCCAGTCCTCCGTTTTGCGCTACATCTATGATCAACCTCGGAATATACTCAGATCATCTGTAAGCATCCATGTCGATGATTCAGCTATATACGAGCGCACTTCTAAAACTCTCGATGGTCTAATATTGCACAAACTATCCAATAGAGTAAAAAGTAGCTGCTTACATTCAACGTCTCGAAGAGCAAGCTAGTTATATTCCATCATCGTCGATCTGACCCCGAACTATCATCGATCAGGACAAACGGAAGTCATCTCGGGGAAGCATCGTGACTTGAAAGACTGTTGGGCCTGAAACTCACACCCGACCTCAAGTGGAACTCGTTCATACGATCCATTGCTAGGGATACAGGTAAAATGGTCGGCTCTTTGTACCACTCCAGTAATTACCTGGCTCTTCTTGCTGTACTTTTACAAGAGCCAGATCAGGCCAAAAATGGAGTATTGTTGTCATATTTGAGCCGGAGGTGCTCAGACCTCACTCTCTAGTCTTGATATTCAAAAGCGTCTCCGAGCCCTTGTGGGTGACAAATTATTCTGCACCTTTTAAGCTTTCTCGCATGGACGGCATATGGCAAGCCTCTCGCTGCTCTACCGTTACTTCCATGGAAAGTTCTCGAACGAACTACATTCACTGTTCCCGTCAAGTCAAACATTCACAGCAAGAACCCGCCATGTTGCTTACATACTAGAAAACCACCTGCATTATTTCCGTATTCCATCGGTGAGAAGTAAGTTCCACTCGAGCAACATCTTCCCACAAACCACTGCCCCGTGGAACGAACTGTCAATAGGTTGTTTCCTCAATTACTACAATCTTAACCTATTCAAGTCTAGGGCTAATCGTTATCTGCCTCAACTATATTCACAATTGGCCTCCTAACGCAACCCTCTACCTCGAGTGGCCTCCTTGTAAAAAATGACCTTACTGTTAACAAAGAAAAAAAAGAAAGAAGAAAAAACAGCAAACAAGTGAAGAGCAGAAAATATTTAAGTAAAGAAGCAGAGAGGGAGAAAAAAATGTTTTTCATTTATGAGGTCGGTTTTAGTATTGCAATTTCTTTGGGTTGTGTTCAATATCGGTTGTTAGCGGAAATGTTCAGATCATTAAATTTTGTTCCAGTCATGAACTGAAAGCGAGAGGGGAAGAGAGAGAGGGGGGAGGAGAAAGAGAGGGGGTAAGAGATAGAAAGAGAGGGTAATGGGGAGATAGAGATGGGTAGATAGAGAGAAAGACAGGGGGAGAAAGAGAGAGGAAGAGAGATGGAGAGGGGGAGGAGAAAGAGAGTGGGTAAGAGATAGAAAGAGAGGGTAATAGGGGGAGATAGAGATGGTTACATAGAGAGAAAGACGGGGGAGAGAGGAAGAGAGAGAAGGGGACGAAAAAGAGAAGGGGTAAGAGATAGAAAGAGAGGGTAATAGGGAGAGATAAAGATGAGTAGATAGAAAGAAAAAGGGGAGAGAGAGAGGGGGGAGAGAAAGAGAGGGTAAGAGAGAGAGAGAGAGAGGTAATGGGGAGATAGAGATGGATAGATAGAGAAAGACAGGGGAGAGAGAGAGGGGGAAAAGGAGAGGGTAAGAGATAGAAAGAGAGGGTAATAGGGGAGATAGAGATGGGTAGAGAGAAAGACGGGGAGAGAGAGAGAAGCAGAGAGAGAGAGGGGAAAAGAGAAGGGGTAAGAGAGATAGAAAGAGAGGGGTAATAGGGGAGATAAAGATGGGTAGAAAGAAAGACAGGAGAGAGAGAGAGGAAGAGAGAGAGAGAAGGGGAGGAAAAAGAGAATGGTAAGAGATAGAAAGAGAGGGTAATGGGAAGAGATAGAAATGGATAGATAGAGAGAAAGACAGGGGGAGAGAGAGAGGGAGAGAGAGGGAGAGGGTGGAGGAGAAAGAGAGGCGTAAGAGATAGAAAGAGAAGGTAATAGGGGAGATAGAGATGGGTAGATAGAGAGAAAGACAGGAGGAGAGAGGGAAGAGAGAGGAGTAGGGGGGGAGAAAGAGAGGGTAAGAGATAGAAAGAGAAGGTAATAGGGGGAGATAGAGAGGGGAGATAGAGGGGGAGATAGAGAGAAAGACAGGGAGAGAGAGAGAAAAAGAATTAAAAAAGTGTAAAAATGACATGGAACGACTTTGTGGTTTTTCATTTGTCAATTTCGACGTTTTTTTGGTGGGGGCGGATTATTTTTTTTTTTATAAAGGATTGGCGTTGTGGCCATCTATTTCAAGAAGAATAAATAAATACAGAAAGAAAACCAAAGAAAGAAAATGAAGAAGAAACAAAGATGAAAGAGAAATGAAAAATGTAGGGGAATGATGAGAAAAATAAAAAAGACAGAAAGAAAGAAAGAAAGAAAGAAAGAAAGAAAGGCCATTAAGATAAAAAATATAAAAAAAAAACAAAAGGAAAAAAAGAAAAAAAAAAAGAAAGAAAAGAAAAAAAGAAAGAAAGAAACGAAAGAAAGTAAATGAAGAAGAAACAAAAAGGAGTGAGAAATGAAAAATGAAGGCGAATGATAAGTGGAATAAGAAAAAACAAAAGAAGAAACGAAAGAAAGAAAAGACGAGATAAAGAAAGAAAGAAAGCAAGCAAGAAAGAAAGAATAGAGAAAACGAAAGAAACAAAATGAAGAAGAAACAAAGAGTAGCGAGAAATGAAAAATGAAGGGAAATGATAAGAGGAATAAAAAAGAAGGAAAGAAAGAAGGAAAGATAAGAGAAACAATAGTAATAAGAAGAAGCTGGAAGAAAAGAATGAAAATGAAGAAAAAAGAAAGAAAGAAAACAAAAGATCGAAAGAAAAAAGAAAAAACGAAGAAAAAAAAAAAATGTGCGTAAAGAAAATGAAAAATGAATGAATGTGATAAATAAGAAAAGAACGAAAAGAACAAACGAAAGAAAGAAAGAAAACGGAATAAAAATAGAAACAAAGAGAACATGAAAGAAAAGAAAGAAAGAAAAATGAAAGAAAAAACAAAAGAGGAAAGAAAATGACAAATGAAGGTGAAGCGGAAAGTGTTTACGTGTTGTTAAATGAAGAACGTGCGTTTAAAGAACGTCCACTACAAGAATATGGAAAAAGTTGAAAAGAAAGGAAAATGTAAAGAAAAGCAACAAAACCGATAATAATATAAAGAGAATATATATATATATATATATAAATAATAGAGAGAAAGAAAAGAAAGAAAGAGAAAGATAAAATCCGGTGTTCTTATAGAGAATTTTACAAAATAGAAAATGTAAAAGAAAAGGGCATTAATATTATAAAAATTTATTTAAAATATGAACACACAGAGAACCATGTTAAAAAAAAAAGAATGGAAAAAAGGAATTTAATTTTGCAATTAAATTAAAAGATTGTTCCATTTACATCCAAAAGAAAGGGAAACAAAAGTAACTTTTAAAAAGATGGGAATTTTAAAGACACAGCTAAAAGAAAGTTTCCATGGTTAAAGAATAGGGGACTTGAATTGGAAAAGGGATGTCTAGGTATTCCTTAAGGGTCATTGTATCAGGGAGATAAAAAATTTGGTAAGGGGAGGGAGAAATGAAGGGACATCCGTTCAATGAATGTCGGATAGGAGGAAAAAAAAATAATGGTTAACAGTAATGGGAGATAGATGGGTAGAAAAATTTAGAAATTTAAAGGGGAGGTGTTCAGATAATACTTTTTATTTAAGGATTTGAAAAATATTCTCATTTTTAAAAAGGGATTCTATTAAGAAATAGAGTTAAATGTATTAGAATCCATTAATTATGTAGGATTATTTTAAGAGAAAAGTAGATAGAGAAGGTTACATTTTTTTTTTCATTAAAAAATCTTTACTCCAAAAGAAAAAGAGAAATAAAAATGAAAAAAATGAAAAGGAACGAAAATGACAAATTCGAGGTTTTTTTTTCTATTTTTGACTTTTTTTTTTAGTGAATATGGAAAATTTTTTTAAATCAATTAATATATATATATATATATATATTTCAATATATATATATATATAAATATATGAAACAACAAAATTTACAACGGACAAGACATTAAAATTTCTGAAGAAACGTAAAGAGTTTGTATTTTGGTGAAAATGAAAACGTACTTGTATGTGGTAAATGTTGGGCGTCTTTCCACAAGTGGGGAGACGCAACAGAAAGAAAGAAAGAAAAGAAAATGAAGAAATGAAAAAAGAATGAGGCAAAAATCGCCCAGTATTTTAGTGTAGGGAAGCGTCCCCTAGTGAACAATTTGAAAAAGAAGGGAAGTTAAGAAAAGGTGAATAATAAGTGAAAAAAAGAAAAGAAGAAAGAACAGAAGAAAGAATGGATGAAATAAAAGAAGAAATAAAAAAACAAGTGGGAAAAGAAGAAGAAATGAAAGAAAAAACAAAAGAAAGAAACGAAAAGAAAAAAGAACGAAAAAAGAAAGAAGAAATAGAAACGAAGTGAATGAGAAAAATAAAGAAAACGAAAAGAAAGAAAGAAAAAGAAGAAAGAAAGAGGAGAGAGAAACTAAAAAATGAAGGGGAATGATACGAGGAAGAAGAAAGAACGAAAGAAAGAAAAATGAGAAGATAAAATAGAAACAAAGGAAACGAAAAGAAGAAAAGAAAGAAATGAAAATGAAATGAAAAAAAGAAAAAGAAAGCAAAGAAAAGAAAGAAAGTAAATGAAGAAAGAACCAAAGAAAAGGAGAAATGAAAAATGAAGGTGAATGGTAAAGTGGAATAAGAAAAGAACGAAAGAAGAAGGGAACGAAAAAAGAAATGTACGAGAAATATAAAATAGAAACAAAAGAACAAAGAAGAAGAAAGAATAAAGAAAAAAAAGAAAAAAGAAAGAAAGAAATGAAAGAAAAATGAAGAAGAAACAAGACCGTGAGAAACGAAAAATGAAGGAAAGAATAAGTGGAATAAGAAAGAACGGAAGTCCAGAACGAAAGAAAAGAAAGAATGAGAAAAGATGAAAAATAGAAACAAAGGAACAAGAAAGAAAAAGAAAAGAAAAGAAAGAAGGATATAAATAAAGAAAGAAAAAATAAATAAAAAAGAAAAAAGATCGAAAAATAAATGTAAATGAAGAAATACATGAACATAGAAATGAAAAATGAAGGAGAATGATGTGTGTGAAAGTAAAGAGTTTGAAAAAGAACGGAAGAAAGAAAGAACGAAAGAAAGAAAGTGTAAAAGAAAGAAAGGATTTCCAAAAGTGGGAAAATAGAAACAAAGAAAACATTGAAAGAAAAAAAAAAAAAGAAATGAAGAAAAGGAAAGAAAGAAAGAGAAAGAAAGGAAAGAAAGAAAAGAAAGAAAAGATCGAAAGAAAGTGAAGAAGAAGAAAAAGAAGAGTGAGAAATGAAAATGAAGGTGAATGATAAGTGGAATAAGAAAAGAACGAAAGAAAGAAAGAAGAAAGAAAGAATGAAATAAAAAAGATAAAAAGAAGAAACAAAAGAACAAGAAAAGAAAGAAAAAAAACAAAAGAAAAAAGAAAGAAAGAAAGAAAGAAAGAAAAAAAAAAAGAAAAGATCGAAATGAAGTAAATGAAGAAAAACAAAAAGGAGGAGAAATGAAAAATGAAGGAGAATGATAAGTGGAATAAGAAAGAAAGAAAGAACCAAAGAAAGAAAGAAAGAACGAAAAGAAAGAAGAAGAAATAAAAGAAAAGGATGTACAAAAGATAAAAAAAGAAATAAAGGAAAAGAAATAAAAGAAAAAAAAATGAAGAACGAGACAGAGAGGAAAGAGGAAAAAAAAAATGAAGGGAAAGAAACGAGGAAAAAGAAAGAACGAAAGAATTGAAAATGAAGAAGAAACAGAGAAAAGGAAAAAGAAAAATGAAAAAGAATGAAGTGGAATAAGAAAGCAAGAAAGAACGGAAAAAAAAAAATGAAGAAAAACCAAAGAAGAAAGAGAAAGAAAATGAAGGGATGTACAAAAAGATAAAAAAGGGACAAAGGAACAAGAAGAAAGAAAAAAGAAAAAAGAAGGAAAAAAAGAAAGAAAGAGAAAAATAAAGAAAGAAAGAAAAAAGAAAGAAAAAAGAAAGAAAGAAAAGAATAAAAGAAATGAAGAGAAATGAAAAAGGATGAGAATGAGAAATGGAATAACAAAGAAAGGGAAAGAAAGAAGAAAGAAAGAAAGAAAGAAAGAAAGAAAAAGAAAGAAAGAAAGAAAGTAAATGAAGAAAAGAAAGAAAACAGGAAGAAAGAAAAAATGAAAAATGAAGATGAATGATAAGTGAAATAAGAAAAGAAAGAAAAAAAGAAAGAAAGAAAAGAAGAAAGAAAGTAAATGAAAAAGAAATAAAAAAGTGAATGAAAAATGAAAAATGAAAAGGAATAAAGAAAAACGAAAGAAAGAAAAAAAAAAGAAAGAAAAAGAATGAATGAAAGAAAGGATGTATAAGAAAAGAAAAGAAAAGAAACAAAAGAAAAAAAAAAAAGAGAAAATAAAAAGAAAGAAGGAAAAATAAGAAAGAAAGAAAGAAAGAAAGAAAGAAAGAAAGAAAGAAAGAAAAGATCGAAAGAAAGTAAATGAAGAAGAAACAGAGAAGAGTGAGAAATGAAAAATGAAGGAGAATGATAAGTGGAATAAGAAAGAACGGAAGAAAGAAAGAAAGAAAGAAAGAAAGAAAGAAAGAAAGAAAAAAAGGATGTACAAAAAGATAAAAATAGAAACAAAGGGAACAAGAAAGAAAGAAAAAAAGAAAGAAAGAAGGAAGGAAAGAAAGAAAGAAAGAAAAGAAAGAAAGAAAGAAATGAAAATAAAAGAAAAAAGAAAGAAAAATGAAGAAGAAAAAAGAGAAGAGAGAAATGAAAAATGAAGGTGAATGATAAGTGGAATAAGAAAGAACGGAAGAAAGAAAAAAGAAAGAATGTATAAAAAGATAAAAATAGAAACAAAGGGAACAAGAAAGAAAGAAAAAAGAAAGAAAGAAGGAAAGAAAGAAAAAAAAAAAAAGATAAAAAACGCGAAAAAAATAAAAATAAGAAAGAAACAAAGAGGAAAGAGAAAATAAAAAATAAAGCGGAATGATACGAGGAATAAGAAAGAAGAAAAGAAAAGCATGAAAGAAAGAAAAAAATGAGAAGATAAAATATAAATAAAGGGAACAAAAAGAAAGAAAGAAAGAAAGAA